TCTTCTCTCTTTCAGCTTGCACTTGAGAAATACGAAGAAATGTTCCCAGCGTTCACAGATTCACGGGAGTGCAAGCTATTGAAAGTGAGTAAAGCCAGTACTAAGATACAGGTCAGGCCTGGAAACACATGCTGCCCTTTACTTCGTGCTTTTTCACCTTGCCAGAGATGTGGTCGTTTATTTGAACGGTCGAGAGGTCATCAGACTCGCTCGGCACTCATTGGGTTCGTACCAGACTTGTGGAAGCAGCTGCAGCAGAAAGATGATTGTTCTCGCTAACTTAAAAAAACCAAAACCCAAAAACCTAAACTATTTTTGTGTTCGTGGCGGGTGGCAGGAACACACACTAACAAGAGTGTTTCCTAATTTTTTTAAATGTATTTCCTAATTTTTCCAGAAACTGCTGGAAGCCCACGAGGAGCAAAACTGCGAGGCATACACTGAGGCAGTAAGTAGTCACAAATTGGCTAAAAGGTGCGCTTGCGGATGGTGGGTTGTTCCTCTTTTTTAACCTTTTTTTTGGGGTGTGCGTGCTGTTAAATGTTGGGCAACTGGTGCCTGAGAGCTCAGAGTGCCGCAACCGAGTCCGGCAGGGAAAACACGGGGCAGCTCAGTGCTGAGCCAGCCCGCAGGACCGATGGATGTGGGCAGAACCACTTCCAGCCTCCGCTCGGGCAAGTCCCAAAGTTACCGCGTTAAAATAACTAGTTTTTCCCTGAGAGTTAAGTAAAGATCCTGCCCAGTTTTGCTTCAGCCCCTTTTGGTGTTCTGCAGTGGCTTAAAGTGCTCTGTGTGGGTTTGGGTAGACAGAAATATTTATTTTTTTCTCTGGGAAGACTAGAAGTTTTAAAAGACTGTACTTCCAGAGCTGCAGAATGCTGCTTCTGCAGCAGTCTCGTTTGCTTTCTAATATTTTAAACAGGTTTGTGTTTTGTTTGGTTTTGGTTTTTTTTCTAATAGGTTAAAGAATTTGACTCGATATCACGGTTGGACCAGTGGCTCACAACCATGCTGCTGCGCATCAAGAAGTCAATCCAAGGAGAAGGGGACGGGGACCTGAAGTGAATCGTGCGTGGTGTTTGTGGCATGCAGCCTAAGTAACCTGGTCTCGCGTTACAGCCAAGGACCACTGTGGGACACGTGATAAAATATCTCGCTTCATTTTGTCGCTTACAAATCCAATGACTTGTGTGTTTCTTTAGTATCCTGCTCTTTGTCGTGACGCCGCGGGTAGCTGGGGAGCGATGCTCTGGGTAGCGCCGGCAGATCTTTCGGAGGCGAAAGCAGCGCTTACAGGCAGAAATCCTTTCTCGGTGGTGTACGCGGTGAGCCCGCAGCCTGCGCTTCCCGCTGTTCTGTCCCAAGGCTCAGTACCGCTGCCTCCAGCATGTGAATATTTTGTCCGTGCCAGCACAGTGCAAGTAATTGGTTCTGATCTGTTGCCGTATCGGTTCTGTCTTGAAACCAGCCTGTTGGATGCACATGGGTTTTTAAATGATTGAGCTTTTTTTAATGGTGCTAGTGAAAGGCTTTGCGCCCCTCACATAGCGTGTGTGTGTGCATACGTCCTATACAGATGCGTGCAGGTGTAAATACAGCGCAGTGACCTAGTGCTGAAAGCGTTGCACGTTGGGGACAGGACTGCTTCGATTGGGGTCAGCCCTCCGGCCAGTCGCCGCGAGTAGATCTAGTTAATGGTGTATTTTGTATTGCAGATCTAAATATAAGATGTAAGGTTCTTCTATATTTTCTCGGATCTATTTTTCCACTTGCTTTAGTTCGTGGTGTGTCCCGTCCCTCCCGACCCGAGTAATAATCTATTTTTCTAACTTTTCATTTACACGAAGCCTTGCTGCGTCCGTACCGCAGGTCTGGTGCGCGCCGGGCCGTACCGTACCGTTAGTTTCTGACCTCTCTGCTGATGGCGAAGCTGCCGCCTCCCGGGGATGCCACGTTACGCAGAAACCTTGGCTTAGTTCTCCGGTTGAAAAGGCTTTAGTTGTGTTTAAAAATTCCTGCAGCCATTTTAGAAACGCGTGTGCCCGGGGCTTTTCTGTGCAATGCTTTGTTTAGGGCCGCTAAGCTCCCTGTTATTTCACGTGTCTGTGTGTGTGTTAAGGAGGACGTGGGAGGCTGTGCAGTTTGCCCCTCGCTGTTTCCCTCTAACAAACTGATTTTCAGCTGCACTGCTGAGGCGTAAAGAATGAAGAATTAATTAATTAATCGCTTGCTTTGGCTTCTGCCCATTGTTTCTCTTGCTGCGGTGATGGTCAGCTTTTAATCCAGAGAGTCGTTGGAGTCGAACCCCGTTTGGCTAACCCGAGGGGTTAGCTCTGTTCAAGGGGTACTTTAGTACAAACCAAAAACCGCTCCCGGTACCCGCCAAATTAGGGGTTTTTTTGTTGTTTTCCTGATCTGTAGCCTATTCTGAGCAAAAGGCCCCCTGCGCTGTGCAAGACGGGCAAGGCGGGTGCATGGAGAGAACCGCTCCCGGTACCCGCCAAATTAGGGGTTGTTTTTGTTGTTTTCCTGATCTCACCCGTCCCTTATTTTCTGTAGCCTATTCTGAGCAAAAGGCCCTCTGCGCTGTGCAGGACGGGCAAGGCGGGTGCATGGAGACAGCCTGGGCGCCGCTCCCCCCCAGCAGCTCCAGGTTCTTCGCTCCCCGGCTCTGTCCGCAGCCAAGCCCTCCCTGTGAGCCCGCCCTGCGGAACCGTTCCTGTGGAATTTACCCGTTTCCTTAGCGAGCCAAGCCCCGCCGCACCGAGGGCTTTGTCTCGACCTTCGGTGAGGGGACGCGCCGGCTGCGAGGTTTGCTTTTCCCAGCGTCACGCGGAGCCCGGGCGAGTATTTTGTGCCGGTTTTTGTTCACTTTTCCAGTTGTCAGCGTTACGCACAGTTGCGATAAGGTGCAGATGGAGCAGAGGACCGTACCCGTGGGGTTGTGTGGTCTGTTACTGTGCTCTGGAGTAATAGCATTAAAATACAAATTGTTAGTTGTGTGTGAGTAGGCTACAGCATGTCCTCCAGTGTATCAGTGGTAAATTGTGAGTTTTAAAGTGACAATCCGCCACTCTGCTGTATTCCCCCCCCACCCCAGTACACAACTCTGTACTCTGAAAACTTATTAATGAAATGGCCTTAGCAAAGAATATAATGTTTTGTGTGAATCTGTACACTAATAAAGTGAAAATCATGACTACAAGCAGTGATAAATGTTCTTTCCTGGAAAATACAGAAGGCAGTTGAAGCTAGAGCCTGACGCAAAGCCGCGGGGCGTGACGATCAAAAGGGGTGTGCGCCGCGCGTCCTTCCCGCTCCTGGTGCTAAGGGTGATGGTTTCACCGTGCCTGTTGTACAGCCTCTCACCTGTAGGAAAGGGGAATGTCCCAGAGTGTCACGCTGCTGCTTTTTTCAGGTGTGTTTTTCCCCTAGCTAAAGGTAAGCTCCAAGAATCCGGTCCCGCCTCCAGGCTTCCGCCCTGTCGTGGTGCGTTCACGGCGATGTGGAGGGTACAGGAGCTCTCGGTAACCACCACCAAAGTCAGCGGAAGGGTCAGGCTTGAGATTTCAGTATTTTAATAAGAACACTGCGTAGGAGCGAGTAACTCACATCCGTACATTCCCGCAGTACAAAAGTTGCCCTGGCTACAGGTGCTAATGCTCAGGCTTTAAATATATCTACAGCCTCTTTACAGCGATCACGGGTGCTGAGCTTTGACCGGGACATCCCGCTTGAATAAATACTTCAAATATAACCTCTTGGAAATGTTCTCTTTTAAAAAAATTCCCTCTCTCTAGATTAAAGTTCTGATTCCACGGTAACGCATCCGCCATCCTTCTAAGGTTCAAAAATAGCTCTGTGCCACAGTTTGGGGGTCTTTATTGCTTTGCCAACCCCATAGCCTTAGACCGGGCCCTCCCAGGGCTCGATTGTGCTTACCTTTACACTAACGCAATCTTTCTGAAAAAGTTTCACGCACAGCTTCAGCTGAGGAAGTTTCTGTGGAAGTACTACATTAATACTAAACTAAAGAAGAGCATTAATTAGGAAAAGTTCTGGATTTGTAGATGGTGGCACCAGGGATCTGGTCCCGAGTTCTGAAGCGTTAATGGTACCAGCAAGTGCTGCGGAGAGCCGGGAGCCTCTCTGTCGGTGCCAGCTACAGCAGAGGCTCCTTCGGGCACAGGGAGAACAGCCCAAACCCCGCCGTGAGGTTCAGCCAAAGGCAACCAGAGTCACTTTGCGCCGTTAGTCGTCGGAAGGCTGCCTGCCTCCCGCTTGTAACGGAGCTTACCCCTGGAGACTCCCGCCCTGCTGGAATGGGCTGCGGCACCTCGACAGCAGAACAGTAATTAACTTTTCCCACCGGAGTAGTACTTAATTTAAAAGTAGGTCTGCAGGTCAGAGCAAGGGTGATGTTTGAGTTATGATGGAGAATTAAAACTCCTGGAATGAAACTTGCTTGCTCCCACTCATATTCCCAAGGAGCGAGCTGGCTCACTGCTCGGATCTTTGGCAAAAGCAGAGATAAACCAACATTTCCTGAAAAGCAATTTAGTAAAACTTATTTTATGTATGGATTTCCACTAGGGAAAACAATTAACTTCACTAAGCTACTAGGCTGGAAACATGACATCATTTCTCCTGATTGTACACGTATCATCAAATCAAGCAGAAATCAAACTCCCTTCTTTATAACCTATCTGAACGTAGGTACTCACTCGCACTGCGGGCCAGCTAGAGCCAACACCCTTTTATTCGTAGGGAATAAACTCACCGGGACCCCTCCACACCCCCCCGGCGTGGCGTGACTCTGCCCTGCCTCGGGGAGACAGAGCGGTACGCGTCAGAGGCAGGTAATGACTTTTTTGAGGGAATTCTGGCAATCCATGTCTTCCATCTCCAGCCCTGCTTCCTTCAGTTCCCTCCGCGGGTTATTGGCAAAGTCAAAGGACTATACAAAGGGTGCAGCTGAAACTGGATTTGTAAATACCGAATTACTCCATGTTCACCAGAGCGTGAAACTGTGGCTGAACAGCGTCTGTCTGCGTGTGCAGCACTGTCAGCTCGCTCAAGGCGGTGGCTATCAGGGCTTCCTGCGGTCCCGGTGTCCCGTCTGACTTACAGTCTGTTCCCGCGGCAGAACCGGTGTCGTGCAACGCAGTCACGCTCCCCGGGACAGCAGTCAAGTTTTGATAGTGGCCGTTTTCAGGGAAAGACAGGAGCTTCTCTGGTATTTTAGGTGACACATCATATTCCTCATCGGGAAGCTCTGTTTTGTGACCTTCGTCGTTCTTAGATGCTCCTTCAACTATGACAAGGAAGGACTTCCAGGGGGTGTTTTTATCGTGTATCTGAAAATAAAAAATAACCAAAAACCAGAAGGTTGAGTGTGTGCTGACTGTCTGGGAGGCAAAAACTTGGATCCAGAAAAAGGTGTCTCTCTTCATCCCACATAACTCCCCCAAAGCTAGGTCAGTGCGCACCAAGGCACCGATCCGTGTCCCCGGGGAGCTTCCCCTTTCCACAAAGCACCCAGCTGGGCCCATGAAGTAGGGCTACGAGGCGGTGGGACGATCGGTTCTTACCGAAGTGTGCCGTCGGAGGGTTGACTTGTCGGTGAACGTTCGCCCACAGGCGTTGCACATGAAGGGCTTCTCCCCGGTGTGTATTCGATGGTGACGCTGCAGCGCGTTCAGCTGCGTGAACTGCTTGCCACACTGGTCACAGCAATAGGGTCGCTCACCTGGAAGCAGAGCAGAGAGGCGGTGTTGGGGCATCATGAGTGCTGCTCACCGGGGAACCTCAAGTAGCCCCTCAGCTTCGTGAAACGATAAGGCACACGCAGGCACCCTCAGGAAAAAAACCCAAGATTTTTCAGAATTTTCCTGGTGGGGTAAATTTTGACACATGTGAAGTAAGCGGATACTTAGAGAGTAAGGGCTAGACCCAAAGCCTGCATAAATCTGTGCAACCACCGAAGCCTCCACATTTTCTACACATATTTTCCTTTAGCGACTAAAGTCCTGTCCCAGAACACAGGTTTTCCTATTTACAAGGTATGTTCTGCGAGCACGAACACCAGAGCTGCTCACAACCACTACATTACCTCCGCATTCATCACAAACTGCCTTGCTGCAGTCAGTTTGAAGCACTTTTCGAAACAACCCCACGTTTACTCCTTCCTTGGCTCGGGTAGGAAAGAGACCCCAAAAAACTTTCCAACAGATGCGAGCAGTGTCACAGAGAGATGACATTCCAGAACAGGAAAAAAAATACTAACACCGGTACTGCCGTGCCCATGTCCCCTGCTCCCCCTACAGTAACGCCACGCTACACACACCAATGAGGGGAGTAAAGAAAGAGCGAGGCATGGCAAGAAAACGCAAATTTCATTAACGCAGAGAACACTGGCGAGGACGCTTCCCCCCGAGTGGCACTGGATAAGCAAGCGTGGTATTTATTACGTGATGAAAGAAACACGGGTATTCGCAACCTACTGTATTGCTGAATAGCGTGGACTTTGAGAGAGCAGACAAGAAAACTTAAAAGCAGACTGAAAAGAGGAAATCTGAGCAGGAGAGAACTCAAACATGAAAGATGGGCACACGGACAAGAACGAGATCAGCTCTCTGCAGTGCTTCACTCAGAGCTGAAACGGACATAGATCTTTGGTCACCGCTAATTTTCCTGCTAATAATGCAGCAGCGTTATAACGTCTCCGCACAGCTCTGAAGCGTTTCAGAGAGCTGCTGTAACTCAGTAAGCAGCACGGGGAGCGCTAGGAGAAGGGAAGCGGATGGAAGAACATGCTGCACCAAGAATCAAAACGCGCCTGCAGGGCAGGAATTAGAGCAATGGGAAATCCTAGTTGAGAAACCCCTCGTCTGAATTACGCAGCTATGAGGTCTACGTCTTTCAATCGTGACGGTTTGTTTCAAACAAAAGGAGCAGCTCCTACCTGTGTGAACTTTTATGTGCTGGTAGAGCGAGTTCCTCTGTGCAAACGTTCTGAAGCACACTTCACATTTGAACGGTTTGGATCCGGTATGGATTCTGTTGTGGTGTTTCAAGTACTCCTTAGAGGCAAAGCTCTTCCCGCAGGTTTCACACATGAAAGGCCTTTCCCCTACAGCAAGGGTGAAAAGGAGAATTAAACCAACATAGTGCCTGAGAACACAATTAAAACATCACATGCAAAAACTGGACGCTGTTAGATACAAACGGAGCCCGTGCCAGCTCACGAAAGGATGTGAACGGGCCACAGTGACCTCTGCAGAAGGCAGAGAGCTTTCCTGCAAGAAATCGGCACAACCCCTCACAGTGCACCTCTCCAACAGCACAACAATAGCTCTACGCAGCCCATAAACCGCCCAAGGAGATCTGCAGCTAGCTGTCTTCTCACCACCTTCAGAGTACTCTGGCTCACTCTCATCACAAACACAAGGCTGCGTGCCTCTGATGAAAGGCCTCCGCCTGTAAGCAGCCAATTTCAGTTATGTGCCTCCCAAAAAGCATTCTTGGAATTATATTTCATTGTAACTTCATGTTTTCTGCCACCCAGATGTAGTTACAAGCTACGGGCAGAAGGCAGACCGTTTTAAGAAGGGTCAATTCAAACCATCGATTGATACTGCGAAGGATACCCGGCAGAAGGACATGTGCTTTTAAGCAGCTTTCTTTGCGGGTCAGGATAAGCCAAGACAGCTGTTTTACATTCCTCGACCTAACTGTCCCGGACTTAGAAATAATTTTTCTCTTCAGAATTCAACCAGACTGTTTATTGATGACAGCTCTTAAGATACTGAAGACTATCCAAAGTGGCCTCAGTCCACGCTTCAGATGTCGAATCCCGGCCAGATGGGAACTCCCTTTCTCTTCAATCAACTCCTTTTACTCTGACTCTTCCCCCTGTCTGCCTATCCACTTACAGGAACATTTCTCAGTCCAGGGATGAGAAAATCTATTTTATGGTAAAAACAGGGGGGGAAAAAAAAAAAAAAAAGCATTTTCTGAATGCAAATAAGATCTCCTGGTTTCACAGCAGGCCTCCTCCTATATGTAGTGCACTGCAAAAGAAAGCCTTACCTGTGTGACACCGTTTGTGATATATAAGCATGTGATTCTGAGTGAACCTGGCGCCACACTCATCACAGACAAAAGGTTTTTCACCAGTATGGATTCTGAAATGAGAAAGCAACGTTAAAGCACCGAGGTATACCTCTTCCCTTTGCAGCACAACGCAAGTCATCGTTACTTTGCCGCTGCTCTCTGAAGAGCAACCGTAGGCCTGCACAAGATGTTAGAGTCTTTTAAATAAAACACCTTCAGCTGGGCCAAATATGCGTCAGGACTCTTTTGAACAGCGCTGCAGGAACGCAGCCAACACAGGCCAGTTTTCGTGGCAATATATCAACAGGAGGAGCGTAGATGTAAAAATAGATACAAAAAGATGAGAAATTCTCACCGCAGACTGTCACAACACACAAGCTGGGACAGCAGTGAGTTTCCAGCGCTCAACAATTGAATAGTCACAGTGGTACACAACGGAGGAGAAACTCCACTTACGCCCAAATCTATTTTTTTTAAGCAGCACAAAGCAGTTACTTGTGGTTAGGAAAGGACACACGATGAAAGAGAGATGCCATGTACGGCATCAGCAATACCATCGGAGGAGCACTCTGGCAGGGCCTTCTACCACTGGGAGTAAACCCACTGACTTCGAAAGGGGCAGTGAAAGGAAGCAGTGGTTAACGAGCCCTTCTACCCTGCAGGAAGTGCCACCTAGGAACACGATGACACCACTGCATTCTCTTTTCGGGTCTGAGTAGTAGCGCTTTGGGATATTTCTTCTATACCTCCCTCTCCATGCCTACTCCCTGGCTGTAATCTGAACTTTGGTTGTAGATGACCGCTTTGGTAGACTGATAAAAGCAGGCTAAAGCCCTTAATAGCTAGAATTTTTGCCTAGATAAAAACGTCTCCCCCGTGAACTTTCAGGACCGTGTGTGTGCACTTCCACTGCTGAATCTCACTGCGATGTAAGTGCTACAACTGATTTCATCAGCTCCACCTTTGGTGCTTCGCTCACCTCCAGATGGTGGCATGCCAGCCTCTTTCTAGTCATCTATCAGTTATTTTCTACACTCAGCACCCAAATGTGGTGCTTTTCCATTTAATACAAGGCCAAATCTTTTTTAGAGTACTTTCACGCTTATTGCATAACATTATTCTATTGAACATAAAGAGGCATCAAATTAGCTAAAATAATTATAGCCCTAATCCTACAAATAATTTGGCATGGGGTCTGCTCTTCTCATGTGAAACATCCCACTGACACTTAATCTGCCTGCTCCCATGAGAAAAGTTAGCTGTGCGCTTCAGCAGCAGCAGGCCTGGGCCCACGCACCTCTACTTCGGCTTCAAGAAAATTACAGCAACTCTCTTAACCTGAAAAGCAGGAAAAAAACAAAAAAAAAAAAAGCTGTATGGAAAAAAGGAACTAGGGAGACTTTCCAGTCAGTCCCGTTTTACATCCCCACTTCACTTGAAGGCTCAAGGTGTGTTCCAGGGGATTCTGCTTCTCCCCCCAGAATCTAACAAGGCTAGTTAAGTCTGTTCATACCTCATGTGTGTTTTAAGTGCAGAAGGCTGAGAAAATTTAGCCTCACACTCTGTGCACCCATAAGGCTTGTCGCCTGTATGCGTCCTTTCATGGAGCCTCAAGGCAGTTTTGGAGCTCAACCCCTTTCCACACTGTTGGCACTGATGACGCTCCCCACCACCCTCATGAACCTGGAGAATGTGCCTCTTGACGTCCTTCTTCCTCTTGAACTTCTTACCGCAGAGCTCACAAGGGAAGTGGCGCTCGCTGCTGTGGACATGGCGCTGGTGGCTTTTTAGGTTGCACCGGTTGGCAAAGGTCTGACTGCAGGTTTCACACCGATAAATGATTTCGGCCGCAATGCCGTGGCTGTGCTTTATGTGCTTGAGAAAACTTTTCTCATACAGGAATTCCTTCTCGCAGGTGCTGCACTTGAAGTTGCTGCCTCGTTTCTTTTTATCCTCTTCGGATTTTTTCAGGCTTTCTTCTGATTCAAAGTTGCCATCGCATTCTTCGCTTTCAGGTTTGATGTTGTTCTCCGCTTGCCCCTCCTCTCTCTCCACATCACACATATCCTGGTCTTGAGGATATTTGTTTTCTTCGACAGCAACCTCTGCGGTCTTCTGCTGCTCCCTCAGCCGCCTCGTGTATTTCTTCTTTGGGATTTCCACAAATACTTTCCTCCCAGCCAGCCTCCCGCTCGCCCTCCTGATTTTGGCATAAGGAGGCTTCATCATTTCCTTATTTTTTTTGTCCATTTTCTCTTTTGATTTGGTAGCTGGCATCTCGGGAGACGTTCCATTGCTGCGCCTGTCAGCTGGGGAATCCGGAGAATCCAGAGGACGGTCTGCCTGGTCAGCTTCTGCCACAGCAGCTGCTTTGGACTCGAGCAAAATGCTTGGCTGGGCGGCGCTCTCTTCCTCGGAGTTCTGTGATTCCGAGAAGTTTTGCAACTCCAGCAGCACCGATTCAAGCATCTGCTTCTTTAATTGAAAGCAGGTTTCCGAGAGGTCCAAGCACTTCAGCTTTTCGGCTATTTCTAGCATACGCTGCACTCTGTCTTCTTCCACTTCTACCTTAGCGGTATAGACAAACTCAAGAAATGAAGCAAAATCGGCAACCTGGACCTCGTTCAAGAACACGTTGGTCCTCGGGCCATCCATGCCCTTCTCGTTAAGGAACACCTCCTTGAAAAACTTGCTTGTCGCTGCCAATACAGCCTTGTGAGCAACAAACTCTGCCCTGACGCCTTGGTACTCCACGCTGACAGTCACGTCGCAGAGGTGGCCCAGGAGACGCAGCTGATGCATTTCATTCAGGAGGTTGATGGGAGAGGACTTGGATTCCAGTAAAACCGCATTACTTTCCATCTTTCTTCTCTCTGCAAAAAGCTGTTAACAACACCGCACGTTAGCTATTTGCACGGAAGCTAACACAACTCAAAAGACTTCAGCGGCCGAAAGTCACGCCCAGGCTTTTGAGAGCACTTCACTTCAGATTTAAGCACTTGAGGTGCTTGAGTTTAAGCGACCAGGCTTTCAAAGGAACATTGTGAAAAGTCTGGCTGGAAGCACCGATTTCAGAAAGCGTCGCCCTAAGCGGTCATATCTCAAACCACGCCGCTAGTCACACACTGAGATTTCTCTGAAGTTAATTTGAGTTTAAATCTCAACTGTGATTTTACCCGAAATGTTGGAGACTATTACAACCTGTAATAGGGACAAAGCAAACAGAGGAAGATCAAAGGAAATGCTCTCATTAAGGCCTGTGGAATTAAGAAATTATTCTCCCTCCTAATCAGGCAGTACGAGAAAGGTAAGATTAAGTAAAAGTGACCTGCAATCCTAAACAAACACTTCTTTAAGCAGGCCTTCAAGATAAGACTTTTAAGCAAGACTTGGATAAAATTCCAAACGTTTAACCGACCAAAGCACAGGAGACTGCACAATTACGTTCTTAAACTGTAAACGTAGGGAATCGGAAAACTTCCTCAAAGTGTTTTCTTTTTAAAAAAAATCATCTCTCAAATAGACTTACAGCCTCTACGTTTTCAATGTCCATTTGCAGCCTTACAAGGGCTTCATAATTTCCGCTACCTTTTAGGTTATGTCATATTTCCCAGTAATGTTCTCAGCTGCTACAAAGTTCTCGAAAGAACCAAGGATTTTTTTTTAAAAAAACGTTTGATGCCAGAACAAACAGTATTTCTATGAACTTTGAAGACGCTCTGAGCAACAATCCCCCTGCAATCTATTCAGTTTTACTGTGTTCCTAACAACTACGTACGTGTGCGTTTAGAGTCTGAAGAATTTCTTTCTGCTTCCTAGAAGTTAATTAAGGTTTCTATTCTCTGTACATGCTTAGGTACGGGAGACTTGCAGCCTTTTATACAGGGGACAGTAGAAATCTTGCTCACAAAGATGAATAAAAAAGGTAGTGTACAAATGGAACAGAATTTATACTAACATAACAGTAAGGAAGCCATATTAAGCATGAAAGAGAAAATAATATCCATAGCATCAGAAAGAGATACTCTTCCCCACTCCCTAGAGTTCTAGGCCCAAATTTGAGTCCATGCTCATTTCAGCGAAACAAAAATCAGACTCACACTCCGATACAATTTTCTGTTAGAACGGTTTTGATAAAACATTTTAAAGAAACTGTGAAATGGAGAGGTGCAGAATATGCAGCTTCATGGAGGTTAGTAGTAGCCACGCAAAACAAATGCTTCATGGACCTGATACTACACCAGGTAAAAAGCCACAGGGAGCCCCTGCCCTAAGGAGTTTACAAATACAGCAGACAAGACCCGAGGGAAGTAGAATCGTTTCCCCAACCTCACGCAACAAGCAAGTGGGAGAACAGGGGACACAATCCACCACGGGCACCCACACCTCTTACCTTAGATTCTACAGAAAAAGATTATCCTCGGAACCAAACCCTTCCTATTGCCTAACTTTTGAATCTTTAGCTCGATAAACCTTTGATATTAAGATTTAAATAGTTCCATTAACATTATTCTAACAGATACCTAAACCCCACTGTTACGGAGTTACGCTTACTACACTAAAAAGACCCAGGAAGGGGACAAAGAACCACCTGTGCCAGTTCAGAGCTCAACAAGCACCTCAAAACACTGTCCACTTTTACAAGCAAGCCCCAACGCTACACTTTATTCTTGGTAGAAATTTTGTATGAACAAAAATGACATGATTTCACTCCTGACTGAAAGGCTGACTCTTATAAATAAGCATGAAAGATGATGTTTAAACTTTGTTTCCCTTTCTCCATAGTCACTCTGTGATTTTGTCCTCCCAGTTATAAGACTCACTGAATGCTTTACCTGAAATAATCAAAACTTTTTTCCCCCAATACAATTATTTTCAAGTACTTATCACGTAATTTCACAACTATCCACCTATTTTCCACTTGAGCACAGAGCAAAAGCTGTGGTCAGATGTAGAGAACAGTGATCCCCAGCAGGAAACAAGAACCCAAACCACAAACTTCTCCTGCCGGGGTGAACGAGCTCATAACTGTACTTGGCGAGCCCTTCGTTTCGGAAGCTGACCACAGACGCATGTGTTAACAGACACATTGTGCCAATTCCTTTTTTCTTAAGGCCGCAAAGCAGAAGCCTCCTGTTCTTATCATCAGAGTATTTTCAGAATCAAAAGCCACTGTGAAAATACATCGCATCACTGAGTTTATTCAGAGGAGGAACAGTAATCCAACACGTACAGTAAGAGACGTTGCACCGCAAAGGCTTTTCATTGCCGCTGCTCTGGCAAGTACACTGAGCTACTGAGCACTGGGCTGGCAGAATATCTTTGACAGGGCTATTATACAGCCACCTTAAAAAAGACAAGGCCTGAAAATTTGCAAACTGAGCCTGCTCGCTAGGGCTGGCCTGGAGAACTAAGATTCAAATAAAAACAACTCTTGTGTACGGTCAGCTACCGTACACCATGCACGTGTCCCCTTCCAGGGCAAAACTAGCTGAAAAGAGATAAAGGGTGCCAGCTAGATTTAACAGATTGTGAACCCACAAACCTGTCTGTTCTTCTGCACCAACAATTCCGCACAGTCTACTAAGAGACGTTACTGCTATGCACCAACCTGCCTCATTTAGGACTGCTCCAACTACTGGAGCTACGATAATGGCACCACAACAACAGGCAGAGTCTGCGGGGCCGAAGCACAAGTTAAACCTGCGAAGCAAAGGCCAGCACGCTGCACCGAGCGACTTTCAGATGCCAGGCCAGAGCACCCCGTGAGAGCGCGGGGGCTCTCAGAGACGTGCGCTGAGCCCGCACCGGGCCAGGAGACTCCTGCACGGAGGGAGGATGGGTTCCCCGCAGCTGACGTGACGAGGCCAGTCGCTCTCCTCCTCCTCCTCCTCGGCAGGCTTTTTCCCGGGCCCCCCCTGCTCGCCACAGCCCCCGGAGGCTGACAGGGAGAGGCTGCCCAGCTGGCCGCCCGCACTAGGCCAGGCGACGGGCCCACAGCGCGATGCCCCCTCCCCGGCTCCCGCTTCCGAACGG